ACGTGCTTCGTGGTGCTTGTGCCAGCTTCAAGTCTAGTGGCTGGTCAAATGTTTGATTTGAGCACAGACGCACGGAAACGCAGGGAGGTGTTCGATAGTTCAGGAAGGAAAGTCCATTTTTGCTTCTGGGGCTCTTGTGTGCACCGAAAGCCTGCCCGCTTCATTGACAAGCGAGCAGCCTTTGAAATCTGTTGGTGGCTTCGCTTTAAGTACATACTCATTATCTCCGCATCGGCACAGCTGGGGCTCCACAGATGAAAGCTTCGTACACGTGTCTCTCTCTCGCCCTCACAAACGACTCAAACGGAATCCAGGTGGGGTCCGCCCTCCCCGCCCCCTATTTCAGATTAGAAAACTCATGAAATGGAACCACGAACAGAAAGTCAACATCCACAGCCGCCAATTCCTTTTATCAACGGCGGTGATGACCAGATGGCAGACTCAGTCAACGCAACGGCGCTCACCTGCTGGCTTCAGGCGTTGATGCTTTTCTTGTCCGGGGTGCAAAGTCATTTCGTTGGTTGTGCTTTGTGCAGGCTTAAGAAGTTACCGAAAGCGCTCTTGAAACTTGTTTGTGTGCATCCTGGCACCGGAGATGCTAATGCCGTCATTGATTTCGAGTCCCAGACCGCTAAATGGTTAAATGGCTTACAAGCTTCCCTGCTGATGCCACCTTCCCACCGAATCGGCTTTTCACATCTGAGTGGAATCTTGAAGGTGCTTGAACTGGGTGTCATGCCTTTGTCGAGGCCATTCATTGCAGTCCTTTCTTGCTCCAAACTGAAGCTCTTAGATCTTACTGTATTAGGGACTGGCCTTTACCGAAGACCTTTGACAGGGTTTAGTTTGTCTTGATACGTGAATTTCTAAAAGCTGCTGATCTACGCAATAAGTTAAGGGGCAACTAGACCACGCTAAACACGTTCTGGGTGCCGTTTTGAATGTTCCACCCGGTGGGGTCTGGCCCCGCAAGGTGCGACAAATCATGTGCCATGTTGTTGTATGTAAAGATGCTACATGATGTATCCACAACAAATTGCAAATGTAAATAATAATAAAATACGATTAGATATCAGCAGATGTTATCCGACATTATCAGAAAGTATAATGTATTGAAATAAAGGTGTTGCTGTACACGGCGATATGCTTTTGCATTTCTTACACGTGTGCTAGAATAAAGCCGGACATGTTAGAACTCGCTAGAACTTTTGAACATATTAGAATAGATTAATTAGAGCATGCAGGAATGTACACGAAAAATGCCTTAGAAGGGACCATTTCAGATAATAACTCATATAGCACACCATGCGACTTGTTATTTTTTCTATAATGAATTTTACGATGTTAGACTATCAGATATGATCTATCAAGTATCAGACTATGCTATACTATATGCTGGCATATGGTGATATACGATGATAGATAACAATATCGGAGCATATTTCACCTACACTATTCGAATATATCAGGCCCTCATTAGGTGTTCAGCCCGCCCCTCCATATTGAACGGAGCCTGCAGACCGCGAGAGCCGAATGCATGGACATGTTCGTTTTGACCGGGGGCGGAGGTACGATGTGTTTTCTCATGCTTGTGTTTTTGGTGTCTGGTCCCCGTACCACTTTGCAATTCTTCTCTTGCTGGTGCATGGCGTTCATTTCCTAAGCAGGTATTTTCTTATTGTAGCTGGCTTTCGCAATTGATCTTGGCTATTGCTGGGCTTTGCTGCCCGAGGAGGGGAGAGGGGGGGGGGTAGGGAAAATGGATGAATCGAGACATCAAGCCCGCTCCGTTAGGCAATCAACACACGTCACGACGACGATATATGCTTTGAAACAGTCACGTTGTTGTCTGCAAGAGATTCAAGCAATATATGAGCTCACTGCTGCCAGCAATGGCTTTGGAGTGAAACCTCAATACCGCGAGTGCTTTGGCCAGAAAGCCCTTGTGCTGAGTCAGTACGGTCCGAGCCCCTTCAGCAGCGACCACTCGCTGAAGCTCAGGTAGCCTGTTGCCTCAACATCTCTTTCAACTCTTGAGACCAGCATCGTAAAACTTCGCAGACATATTATGAGGAACATCCAAGCAATCCAAGCAGCTTGTCGCCCTGGCATCTCGTGCAGGAAGAGGAATAGCATTTTCAGATCGGCCTGCCCAACTGCCAACAATCCGACTCATGGCATGGAGAAAATCTAAGAGGATGTGGCACCGCGCATTTCTCGGTACACAAAGAAGCCTTGGGCGCGATCTTGCTGAATCCAGCCTGTCAACTGCAGCGGTGGAGTATGTCTAGCCCCTGAGGCCACTTATGGGGTGTGGAGTTGGTCGGGATCTGCTGGTCTTCTGCCGCGTTCTGTCTCTCGTGCTGCGCGCGTGAGAGCAAGCCTGCACACAGGTCTTCTGGAAGGCATCATAACTGGCTGTTTTCGGCCTGCAAAACTTGTTCAGATCGCGCGCTGCTTCCAACATGTCCGCTGGCCTGAAGGAATACTGAGAACCCCA